ACAAAAACAAAAAAATCACTAAACAATTATTAAAAATGAAATGCAAAACGCTTCCGACAATAAGCTTTGGCCACACTAAAGTATATTAAACAAAAAAAAAAAAAAAAAAAAAAAAAAAAAAAATTACGTTTTACAAGCAAGCTTTTTGCGTTCGTGAAACAAAAAATAAATACAAAACAAAAATTATAAAAATTATATAACACATCGTACGTTTGCCCAACTTAATGTATGCGTTATAACTTACATACATACACACACATACATACATCAATATATATTTATGGAGTTGTATTTCAAGCAAATGCAATAAATGCATCAACAGAGGCGATATTGTACTTATTTTCATGATACGCATTTGAAGCGAACATATCAAAACAAAATTTAGCATTAAAGTGAAGAACAAAACAAAACAAAAATACCAGAAAGTTGACTCCTAAATAGTCGTGTGTGTTAAAGGGGTATTCGAATAATAAGCTCTGAACACAGCGACAACTAAAACATATACTCTCACAAAAAACACACACATAAATATCTATAATTATAGGTCAATGTAGAGCCGTATAATACCAGAAATCAAGTTATATAGCTGTTCCAAAAAGGCGCCATAGTGTGAAAGAAAATTACTAAAACAAAGGAAGTTGAACAAAAAAGAAAAGAAAACAACAAAATTACAACTGAAACATAAATTAAGCATGAATATTTTTTGCTGTGTCTTAGTCCATGTGTCGTAACGAATTTATTGAATTAAATACAAATAAAGAAAAAATGAATGAAAAATTTTAAGAAATTTAAAACTTAGATTTTTGATTTGTTTTTAACAAGAAAAACAAAAGCAAAATAAAAAAAAACGCATGCGAAAAATTTCTAAAAGTAAAACAAACAAAATGCACAAATGTTTTCAACTACAAAATTGCCTTTTACTTGTATTTTATTTTATACTACTACAACAAAAAAATACGAAAAAAGAAAAAAAAAATTAAATTTAATAATCATGCAAAAAGAAAACACGCTGAATGTTTTGTTTGAATGTTTTGCAATGCGCCTAAAAAAAACTGTGACTAACACTTGAAAGAAGGAGGGGAAGATGTTGAAGAAGTGGATGAAAAAATACCAAAAGTAAAACTCCAATAAAATAACTAAAATACTAAAAACTAGGTTACTAACTGAAAAGTTATTCTTAGGGCAAGAATTTAAAGAAATGCTAAATGAAAACAAACACACACCTACACAGACAGACAGACATACAGACACATAGTTAAGCTAAACTATATAGTATATAGTATATGCTATATACCTATGTACACACACACACACATACACATGCACACATACATACATATATGCAACGGCATGGCTACGGTACATACATTCTACATATGTGCCGCGCAGGCGCGCCAACGAGGACGTGCTAGTTACACACATATTACGATAAGTATTTATTTACACATACTTAAGCATATGCAGCTACATATATACATACATATATACTACATCACCCACACATACACACATTAATACATAAATGCATACATATGTATTCCAAATGTGTACATATTCGTAGCGAGAGGTCTACACATCACTAATTAGAAACGATGTAAAGGCTACTTTTACTAAAAATTATATAAATATACACAGCATGTATGTATATCTATATATATCGATAGTATATATACACTGACATTTGATGAATGCTAAACCAAAACAGCAATTTACTTATATGAACAAGTTTCTTTAAAAATAATTCATATGAAAAACACAAAAAAATGAAAAGCAAACAAGGAAAACCGAAGCAAAAAAAAAAAAAAAAAAACAAAAACAAATCACACAATAAATATACACTTATTTAAATATTTAATGAAAACAAACGATTTATATATATACATACATATATAAATACACATATGTATATAAAAATAATGATATATGCGTATATATATACACACATATATATATATACATACCACTACATAGTTTAAATGTTTATTTATTGTATTTGAGCCAGATGGATGATAAATTTAAATAAAAATTATAATAACAAGAAATGCAAGTGGATTCTATTTTCTTTTTTTGTTTTTTTCTTTGCGATTTCAGATTTTTATGTGCTATAGCCCTAGTACTCGATCGAAACAATATGAAAGGCAATGCAATTTCATGCTGATTCTTCTGATATTGCCATGGATGGCCAAATGACGCGACGTTTTAATTTTAAACCAATATTTTGTAGAGTGGGCAGCTTATCATCATTTAATCTATATAAGTACTTATGTTGGTAAAAGTATATGTGCATATTTATTATTTGTTTAATTTAAGTCAATTGGGTGACATAAAAAGCTAAATCGAGGTGCAAAATATAATTGTAATCGTAGAAAAAAACACTCTAAATTGTTAATGCCTCTCACACTCATTGGCCACAGATCTCTCAAGGCGTTCGAGGTGTGACCGCTGTCTATATAGTGGACATTTTTCAGCAGACGTTCATCTTCATTGGGTCTTATTGGTCTAAAAAATCTATTATTTTTTTTTTTTTTGGAAATGCGATGAGTCAAAGCATAAGTTTTCTGCTCACAATCTTAATTACTTGTATTAAGGCGAACGATCTGAAATTGTCACCATTTGGTCACCATTTGTAATAAAATTCGACTCTAAAGTGGGGACAAGTGGAGTCAATTCTAACTCTGGCTTATTTCTAAAAGAATAACTGCATTAATAATCAACTCACAACCTATATGTACTATTAAAGCTTAATAGCTAAAAATGTCTCGCAACTTACTATTTGCAAAAAAATTGACTTTAAAGCGGGGAAAGAAGTTTCTAAAGCTCCAACGGGTTAATCATTCTACTCTGTCGATAGCACACGATAGTATATCGTTATCATATTTGATATTGCGTTCTACAGATTCTACAGTAAAAGGATTTATTTTTTTTTCATAGATGGGCTAAATTATTGGGGGCTACATTTTTTGATTCAGACATTTATTGATTTGAACCTGCAATTAATGCTTACTAGTGGCAAACTTTTTTGGGCAGCCCTAGAAATGTCTTAACATGAACTGTCGGCCGACCGATAAACCTCAGCTATATTAAGCTAACTTTATGGGTAGCCATTGTGGCTGCCAAAAGCAATAAAGATTGTCATTGTTGAACCATAGGTAGCGCGTTTATATCATGTAATTGGTAATTCAAATCGAATCTTAATGGTACCCTAATTATGTAGATAGTGCAATATAATTTATGAGTGCACTAAACTGGAGCAGATTAGAAATAATGCGGGAAGTGCCCCAGTCATAATATCAAAACATACTAATACAATCTATTAGTATTGTCGTGCGGAACACAGTCAGATTTCTGGTCAGTTCATCAAGTTTGAGGTACTAAGAAGGCTGATTAGAAGGCGGTTTCCAATTATGTAGAGAACAAAGCAAAAATTTTAGCTTAGGCGAATGCTTTATATTTTATAATTTGCGAATTGTTTCTCAGATTTTTTAATTAAAATGAAAGAGTCTTGTGCACAATTTATTTAAGATTGTCTTAAAGATGCAACTTTTTTTTTGGTCTGGCAACGATGCACTGCCAGGGAAATAGTAGCAAACGAGTAAAGATACCAGAAGAGCTGTTCTTCAGCAGATGAGTGCTTGGAAAAGGGTTTAAAGAACTAAACTAGTTGTGTTGGAAACTCTTTTTCTTTTGTGAAGAACCTAATTTGTGAGCAATATATTAAGAATTACTTGAAAGAGATAAAATGTGAGTAGTGATAGTTGTTTCTCTGGGCATAGTTCACTTAATTCACAGATTCCTGCTCCAAACAGCTCGTTCCCCAAATACATCGAGAAGATTTGAGAATTGTCGGCGGATAACTTTTGCTAATGGATCAATTCATGAATAATATTGCTATTAATAATCGGCGATAGCAGGGACAACGTTGGCGAGGATTTCTTACCGCGGCCAAAACCGACAACCGATTATATTGGCCTAAAAAGAAAAGAAAAAAGAATGGCATGGTGGTGGCTGGGAATTCTACATTTCTCGCTAAACTTTCTATTTTTTAAAATTTCAATGAAAAACAGATCTGGGTCCTTAGATTTGGCTTCTCTGTAAACATATTTAATTGCACAGATAAAAATATTTGAAAGTAAAAACAAGTTTGAAACAAGACAAACGTAAAATACTTTGTTCGTTCTTTCTGCATTCTATTTTAATTTTTGATTGTGAAATTTATTTTGGTGGTTTAAAAGTAATTTTGGTGCCCAAGGAGCAATAGAGCTTAAGAAAGTACCCTGTAGTTATGCGGACTGGTACTGATCCTGCCAGTTCTTCAGTAAGCACGACGATGCAAAGTGTTGCTGTGTTTTATACAAATTTCGGGATCATACTGTTATTGTCTAATCTATCTAAAATTGTCAAAAGGTATATAATTTTTTATGTTTTCTTTAAATTTTAAATAAAAAAAACCATTTAATTGATGGTAATTTATCAATTAAATTAATAAATAGTTGGGCGAGTTTAGTTTGTTTTTCTTCTGCGGTATTCAAGAGGTGGTTCAAAATGAATTCACTTCATTGGCATTTAAGTTATAACAAGTTTTGCATTAACTGGTACTGGTACTGATCATGCAGGGCGCTGGCACCATAGTAGTGTATGCAACTAAAAGGGTAGGTGGAGGTGGAGACTGGGTAAATAAAGATAGCCCTTTTTCCACTTTTGATGGAGGTGGAAATGCGGGCTTGCTGGTCTCCACTCCTATTACTTAATAAGAGTATCATATGGAGAGAATACTGTCAGCCTTTACCGCACTAACTGAAGATAGGTAAGCAACGCGTTTTCTCTTTAGATTTCTATTGGATTTCGATAGAACATCCTTTGTAGTTATATCGAAGTATGTCAGAAGCTAGATCAGGAGTCGAAGATATTGGCAGATTCGATATACTTGTCTACCAGCTAGGTATACGAGTTTATCGGTAGCTAGTTAGTTGGGTATTCGGAGGTTCAAAGTAAACACTCACTTGCATTTTAAAACACGTTTTTATTAAACATCATGGGGGATAAAAAAAAAAGAAACTAATATACAATGACGTCCATTTAATGGCGGAGCTTCTTGGCCACACAGACATCGATGGAGCGGTTCACCTCATTGAGGCCGTTGACAGCCTCATCGGCGGCGTTGTGGGTGCAGACATTGCCTTCGACGAAGACGGCGGGAATGCGTTCGTTGGTGCTCTGCTTGATGGTCTTGATGGAGGAGCGAGCCTGGACCAGATAAACGGTGGCCTGTATGTAGAACTTGGCCATGCATGACTGCTTTAGCACGGAGTTCTTGTAGTTCTGGCACTTGTTATAGGTGCGTCCCAGACTCAGGCCGCCGAACACCAATTGCTGGGTGGCTTGGTTCACATCGGTGGCGATCTCAGCGGAGGTGTGTGCGGCAACCACAGTGCAGTCGTGCATCTCCTCGTGGACAGTATCCAGAATAGCATTGATTTCATCATCTTGGGAGGCCACACATTGGGGGCTCTCGGCGCGACGCGCCTCAATATTGTCGATGGCCTCCTCGAGTTGCTGATGAGGCTCCACAACGATCTCCTCATATTGGTGCACCAAAGCCTTGGCCGTCTCCTCGCCCAGATGGATCATATCCTCGACAACGGTGAAGACCTGAGCCTGGAATGGGGCAGGCAGGGAGGCGAATCCGTGGGCGGGTGCCGGTCCGGCATTAATGCCGGCCAAACAGCTCACGGCCAGAACAATTGCGGCAATAATTAGCTTCATGTTGTGCGATCCTTTCTTTATGGTTAGCTTGCAGAAATGTTGGGTATTTATAAGTAAATCGCTATGCGCTTTTCTTATCAAAAGCAGCGATACGTTCCTATCTTAATTGGCCTAACCAAGTTGGGCGCAATTGTTCTGCCAATGTACCAAGCTTGTAAATCAAAAGCGGATTTACGAGCCTCAGCTATTTTGGTCTTTATTTTTGGTCCGACATCGCCATCGCCATTCTTGGGGCGACAGACATCACAACAATTTGGAGCAGCTGTGCATTACACAATGAACAAAGCCAATAAACATAATAATTATTAATATTATGAGAGCTTACTTATTTATGCATTTAGAGAACGGCAAATTAGCAAAATACTAGGCATCATTAAATTGACCAAGAAGCAGCCAATTGAAGTGGCTTTATCGCCAATGGCGGATAGCCTTGAAACGCTTTACTTTTAATTACAGTCGGGTTACATTTTATAATTATTGGACTATGAATGTCTTAGCCGCGTTAGTATCACTCTTTTTGGCCAAGCTTAGTTTTGTGGTTTTTTCGTGGTTCGCATTGAACTTAAAAATGCACAGAACACTTCCACGATATTTGAGTTGCGGTCATAAAACCAGCGAGGGCGCAGCGTAGGCGCTGCACAGTGGTACAAAATATACATCCCCCAAAAATGTTCAGTAATTTTGAAAAGGGCAGTGCCTAATGGCTGTTCATATAAAGCAGCGAAGTGAAGCCAATAAAATGTAAAAAATCAGGCCAACAAAATAGTTGTTTTATATTTAAAGTAAGAAAGAGTCTTAAGCGATACAATTTGGTGACCCCGACGTTGCTTTGTCCTGAACTGGAGAGTTGAATGTAAAATTTGAGTGTTATTCAATTAATTTATACCTTGGTATTTTCCCTCAATAAATATGTGTATTAAAATAGCATAATTGGTTGCACTCTTTGCACACAAGTCTACGACTTCTAGCTTCAGCTCCATCTGCTCCAGGGTATACCCCTCATCGTGTCAAGCTATTCAGATCCAGGTTTCAAGGCTTCCAACTATTGGGTACCAGCACCTCCAAGCTTTTAGCCATTCAGTACTGGCGGCTCCAAGCTTCTCGGCACACCCTCGTCCCAGCTACTTGGCTTTTAGCTAATAAGTGTGCTCTAGTCCAAGAAGATTAGGACCTACAAAGATTCCTCGCTGACTTACAGAATTTGTAAAAGGTGAGTCTTCTGGCCAGATGCTTGGACTAGACTAAGATTTTTCTCAGACTAACAGCAGATATGGAAAGACGAGTCTTCTGGCAAAAATTGTAGATTGGACCGATTAAGAATTTTAAAGAGGCAAGATTTTTCTCAGATTAACAGCAGATATGGAAAGACAAAAACTGTAGTTTGAACCTAAAAATAACTTTAAAAAGTCAAGCAGGGCTGGTATATATGTATATAAAAACGTTTGAATATAGTGTCGGACGTTTTTCATCTTTTTGTTTTGGTAGCCACCGAGTAAGGCACCACCTTTAAGTGGCAAAGAAGTGGTTGTCTCTCTGTGGCATTCGCTGCTCAAGCACCACTGTGCGCCGTTGGAAACGCTCCAAAATGCTGGCCAGCAATGCATCTTGTCGATTGACGTGAGCTGCATTTGATGGCTGCGGCAACAACTAAGTGGCACTGGCAACAACAATAATAACAATAGCAACAGCAACAGCAAGCTGTTCACTTTTGATCGTTGCGCTGCTTGAGCGCGTTTCAAGGGCGACTTTTGTCGCTGGAAAAGTGCAGCTAGTTGGCAGAGAGAACAAAAAGAAACAACAACTAACGGCTAACTGGGCTGTAACACGACACCTACGAAACATTTGATTCTGTACACTAAAAGTTGTACAAGAATATACATATATAGTATTAATTGATATATATATATATATATATATATATATATATATATATATATATATACAAGTATATTAGAACTTTGCGTGCGAATCGAAAAGAAAACTTTTTGTTCATTTTTGTGACTGGCGTGGTGTTTTTAATATGGTTCTGAAACCAATGGAAACAGCCGGATGAGTCAAAACCGCACAAAATTCGTTTGAAGAAGTTAAATGGAATTATTCATCGGAAATTCCTTTCATCGGGCCAAAGGCTGTTGCATCGATTTAGCCGTATTTGGAAGGAAGTTGTCAGTCGCGTCTTGTGAGTGATGTATTGATAAGAATCGTTTTCCATTTCCATATTCGTCCGATGTGGAATATTGCTGGCCCAAAGTACTCGCTCGAAATTCTTTGTGTTGCACTTTTGGTGATGAAACCCCTCAAGTTCCATGAAGATACTCAAGGACAAGTCCATTGATAAGGAACTTCTTATTCTGAGCACTTCCATGATTCCAACTGATACGCCATTCAGTAGAGTACATTCTGCATTCTCTCATGCGCTGACCAAATAAAAGAGTCACATAAAAACGGCAAAAGCTTAAAAGCAAATTACATTTGTTTCAATCTAATTAAAAAGTCGATTTTATGTTTATTTATTTATTTTGCTTTTTTGCAAAAAATTTAATTACAAGAAAAAAGGCTACAGTCGGGGTCCAACTTGTCCAACTTGAAATATCCTGTACCTAGGAAGTTCAATATTAATGTAAGGCATCTTGGACTACAAATTTGGCTCTATGTCTCTAGCTTTTATAGTCATCAAGATATAGATGATTTTGCAAACGGCGTTTTCAAAAAAAAAAAAAAACAATCTCGTATAGCGTAAATACATAGGGCCTCTGAGTACAAAGTTTTGTGTCTCTATCTTTTATAGCCTCTGAGATCCAGGTGTTCATACAGGCGAACGGACAGACTGTCTAGTCATGCTGATCTAGAATTTACACGTATATACTTTTTGGGGTCTGCCACGCCTCCCCTTGCCTGTTACATTTTTTCATGTCTCTTGTCATGCTGATTAAGAATAATTCTTAACATTTTTCATTTTCAAACCGTGTTAAATCAATCTGTGTAAAAAAAGATCGTGTAAAAACAGAATTAGGTGTATTTTTATGGGGTCGGAGATGCTTTCTTCCGCCTCTTACATACGATACTTTTACCAAACCTAATACCCTTAATATATAGGGGAAAATTTCGTTCCAAAAGGCACTTTAAAGCAAATGCCCTGCTGCCTCATGAATTATACTTGTATTCATTTCAATGTAATTAAAATACATTTTATACCTATTGTTGTTCATTTTGTTGAACTCAATGCACTTTGAGTATTCATTTCTAGTTCAGCTAATAAGCTAAAACAAAGCATTGAGTGATTCTGAGGCGGTACGAAGTTTGTACACTGATAAAAAAAAAACCACGGAAATTTCAATATCTACACTTAGAACTAACTACAAGTATTTAAATATTGAAATATTAAATTTAAAGTATGGCGATATTAAATCACAAGTGATGATGTGGCGACGTGGGTTTGATTCAAGCCAAAGGTTTATTTTTTATAAATAATATATAATATTTTTTCCACTTTTTTGTCTACTCTACTGGTTTTTCCATTTATATATTTATTTTTGTGTAGAACCATTTCTAGCAGAAAGTAATTTTAAAATTCTCTTATTATGGAATTAATTTTCTTGATATATTATATGCATTTTAGTACGGATATAGTTTGGATCAATATTAATATTAAAGTGAAGGAGCAGCTGATAGAATAACACTTACTTGATACATACATACCTAACGACTATATATGCATGTCAAGCGGTTACACTTTGTATTTATACCACACAACCGCTGAAAACCGACTTGAGAATTCTAGTCAATTAAAATTTAATATATTTATAGTATATTTAAATCGACTACAAAAAACTTCAAATTACAGTTGAGAATATTTAATATGGTTCAACATTAAACTGAATATGACACACTTAATAACGAAGTTTTACACTTTGTTTTGAAAATTATTCATATTAAAATCACTAATTGAATATGTTTTGAGTAAAATTTAAGATGTTTACATTTGATTTGAATATGAAATAGGAGAACATTAAATTTAATATGTAAATATTCATCAGTACTATGCAACTTTTTTCAGTGTAGAACATTAAATTTAATATGAAAATATTCATCTGTACTATGTTTTACACTTTGTTTTGAATATTATTCATATTAAAATCACGAATTGAATATGTTTTTAGTAAAATTTATTTGATTTGAATATGAAATAGTAGAACATTAAATTTAATATGTAAATATTCATCAGTACTATGCAACTTTTTTCAGTGTAGAACATTAAATTTAATATGAAAATATTCATCTGTACTATGTTTTACACTTTGTTTTGAATATTATTCATATTAAAATCACGAATTGAATATGTTTTTAGTAAATTTATTTGATTTGAATATGAAATAGTAGAACATTAAATTTAATATGTAAATATTCATCAGTACTATGCAACTTTTTTCAGTGTAGAACATTAAATTTAATATGAAACAAGAGAGAACGCTACAGTCGAGCAAGCCCGACAGTGTAATACCCTGTACCCAGGTAAACTTCCGTCACTGAGTTATATGCGCCCATAGCAGCAGCAAAAAGAGGAAGAAGAAGAGCGAACTTGTTGCTGCAGTTTGTGGGGGTTGTACTGTAGAGAATTTGTTTCGCTAATAACTTTGCTCAGAATTGACCGAATTGGATAAAATTTTAAACAACTGTAGACAATTATATATTAATTATGTGTGCAAAGTTTGGTTTAGGTAGCATTTGAAATGTGGACGCTATTGACGAAATTCTGTAGCGGGGGAAGGGGGGGAAAATTAAAAAAAAAAAAATAAACTCGTCCTTACTCGGACCTAGGAGAATCTGGATGCCAACTTTGGTTATTCTAGCTTTTATAGTTTCTGAGATCCTCGCGTTCATCCAGACGGACAGACGGACGGACAGACGGACGGACATGTCTAGATCGATTTCTCTCGTCATGCTGATTCAGAATATATATACTTTATGGGGTCGGAGATGCTTCCTTCTGTATGTTACATACTTT